TCGTCGTGAAGGAGGTGCGTAATAAACCCTAAAAAGTAATCGTATAATCTTTAAACGGATGTGATCATCTGTCAACGGACGTCAAACATCCGTTTAAGGGAAAACGGATGTCGATATCCGTTTTGCCTTAAACGGATGTTGACATCCGTTGACGGATGGTCACATCCGTTGACGGATGGTCACATCCGTTGACGGATGGTGACATCCGTTTAAAGATTATTGTTTATTTTCCTCAATTATTTTTTATTAGTTTATCTTTTATATTAATTTTAAAGATATTTTAATAATGTAATTTATATGTTTTGATATATTATTTTTTAGAGGCAGATGTGGTGGAGTTGGGGGATGGGAATCTAAAAGAAGAGAAGGAGAGTTGGTGGTGGGGCTGAGTGAAAAGTGAGTAGGTAAAATAGGATTTGAATTCAAAGTAAATAAATATGATTAAAAATAAAATAAAGGTTATTTTTGTAATTAATAAAAGGTTATTTTTATAATTAAAATTTTTTTAGAGAAGGTTGGGGAGGTGGAGGGAGAAGTGGTGGTGGTGGAGGAAGTAACACCCAAGATACAGATGTAAAAGTAGCTGGCCCAAAATACATCGACCAGGGAGGCCCAAATTATAGTAAATAAGATATTCGGTTTAAAAAACTTGTAGATATTCAAAATCGAATGCAAGGGTTTGATTTTTATGGCCTTTCGATTGAATAAAAAGAAATATTTATTAAAAAGAATATATCATTCATGTTATTCTGCATTTTGAAATGAAAAGCAAATAAAAATATCTTTTTTGATAATACATAAAATTATAACATAAACTACCTATATCTCCGAAGAAAATACAAGGTTAATCCTAAATTTAAGAGATAAAACTTCAATGCAATAAGTAAGTTTGCATGTAGAAAGTTCCATTAACATAAAACGGCTTCATATAAAAAATAGTATTGATTAATAATCAATCTCTAACGCATACTAAATTATCATTCGTAAAAATTTAACACATCTTTTATGCCAAATTAAACTTTCATGCAATGAAAGCTAACTACAACCCTTCAAAGACTAGCTGTGCATGTTACAACTAACTACATTATTCTTGGTTTGGCTTTTTAATTATATTTTATTGCCTCCATTTCTATCGAAAATGACTTAAAGGACTATGGTCCATTGAGGAAAAATAAAGTAGATGAAAATAAATAAATGTGTGTGGTCGAAGAAAAATAAGAACATAAATAAGGAAAAAAATGAAAAAAAATGTATTCCTTACTAATTTTCATTCCTCAAGATAAGATAGAAAATACTTTTGTACGAGAAATTGTAAACAATGTATTCTGTGGATTACGCAGTAAGTAATCCATGTAATACGTATATACATCACCGCATTTTGTAACCAATGAATGTGTTTAAAATTGTGATACTGTTCTCGTGTATAAAGTATTGGTTTTTCGGTTTATCGATATATAAATGATACGTATAAAAAAGTTATTTTGACACGCGTATCTATACCCATAAAATATCGTAACTAACCGTATAAATAACCATATTATACTTGTAGGCGTGTGTTGCACGGTCACTGTGTACGGTACGTAACTATGCATATACTTTTCTTGATGGAAGAAAAAGAAAAGAGTAACAGCTTTCTTTTTATACTTTGGCTTTTTTTGTAGTTCACTTTCTAATTTTTAGTTATTATCCACACATTTTCTATATAATTTTTGTGCTTTTATTTACGACAAATGTTAAAAGAGTTTCGCTTTATCTCTGTAATTTATTTGCTATCTTTTTTTCAGATATTCTTTTTTTCAGATAAACAAAAAAGAAAAGAGATTATTGATTATACCGTATTCTTTTGTTACATGTGTTGCAGTTTTGTCAGCATCTGTGTGGCCATAAATATAATGATAAATAAGAAAATTTGAAGCGAGGGTCCCACGTATGACATGGAATGCGCTGTCTGAAAGCTTCTTCTAACGTGCAGACATCAACAGCGTTTAAGCAGAAGTCCGTTCCCGTAACCAACACATCCGCCGGAAAACTGTTTCCGTCCGAAGAAACAGGGCCTTAGCCCACAACACCAGACATTTTCGTTCATTTCAATATCACAAGTCACCTTCAGTTTTAACATCAATTAATCTAAAATAATATTCAAGAAAAACTAAAAATTAACTAAAACTGACCTTCTTTCCAATATATATATATATTTTATTTATTTATGATTTTATTAGTAATTTTTCAATTGATTTAATCATAGTATTATAAATTTAAAATTGCTAATAAGTAGTAAACTTATAAATCGGTTTGGTCCCTGAATATTACAATTTCACTGAATGTAGTTATTCAAATAGGACTCAATAATTCTGTATTGTTTAATTGTTTAAGTCTACGACAGTTTATACATTTGACATACGTATTTTAAGGATAACAAAATCTGAAACATTATAGATAATATTTAAGATGTTATTTCGATAAATTTAAACTTTGAATAATAATATTGTTCGATTGTAATGATACGAGGTAAGTCGTTCTTGCTTTGCTCTGCTTCGATCATTTAATCTTCTTTAAGAACTCAATCTATTTTGATGGATTTTGACACGCAAAAGACACTCTAACGCTTAAGTCAGATATATTTCGTATAGATGTTTCTATTTTATTAGGATAAATAAAAATGTCTGTACATTAACCACATATTTGATATGACAATCAAACTATTAATGCGATATATTCATATTGCATACGACAGTCAAATCATTAATGTCGTCAATCAAACAATTAATGTCTACTAATATACTTGCTAACTACTCATAAATCACCGTTGCATTTTTGATTAAATTTTAATTACCTAAAGCGGCTGCTTCGATCCACTGGTCAGTTGATTCTATTGTAACAAAGCCAATATTTTTTATACAGTACAAATATATTTATTTTTTCAAGTATCATAATAAGTTTCGTGGTATTACAAATTGTATTTTGTATTTTATTTATCATGTATTTGTGTTTATCAATCACAATAATAAATCTATAAAATAACGTTTAGAATTATAAATATGATAAAATAATGAATAAAACATTTACACATTTTCTTATTGAATATTTTATAATTTTTATAATAATATCTATACTGAGATTGTTGAAAATTAAAGTGGAAATCTAATTTTTACACTAAATAAAAATGAAAAGATTTAACTTGACAAACCAATCATCTTAAAGTTTTAAAAATGATGTAATTAATTTTTTATTGATGTGATATTTTATAATAAATCTCCCCAAAAAGATTCGTCAAAATTAAAAATGTTGATTTTATTTTATTTAAATTTTAGATAAAATAAAATTGTATTTGATCTTTAATATTTAATTTTGGTTACTTTCTAATACAACAGTTACATTTTTAAAAATGTTTATTCCATAAACTAAAGACATATATGGATGTCATATAATAATTCATAATAGAATTTCGTTTCTCACATGAAAATACTGAAGAAGGATATTTAATACATCTACCGAATGTATATATTATTTTAGAAAAAAATGTTCGAAGACAAAATTAATTTAACCTAAAGACAAACTAGATTGGGTTTCAAATATTGTTAATTGTAATATATGAAACACCTTTTAATCGTGAATAGTGTTTACCTTCATTTTTTAAAGTAAGATAAAGGAAAATATTTTATAATATACTTTATCAGTTTTTTCATTACATGATAATATCAAGAGATATAAACTATAAATAAGTGATTAAATTTATAATTTTATTTGATATCTAAAAAATTATTTTAATGTTAAGAACTGTTTTATACTATAAGAAAGTAATAAAAAGTAATAAAAGGATGCTTTTTCTTATTGAGTGATTCTCCGCCACCTCACGTTTATCCTTCTTGCACCTCCAAAACATATTTAATTCCAATAATACCTTCACAGAGAAACCGCATTTCGAAACTGCGGCAACTTCCTCTACACCTCCAAAGAGAAAACCGCAGTTCGATCTGCGAAAAGCAAAAACCCACCACCGCATTCGATCTGCGGCAGGCGGGAGACAAACCGCACTTCGAAGTGCGTTAGATTTTTAGGATAGTTTTTTAATTATAGGGAGATTATATTTTATAGGTTTTATTTTTATTAGGTTAGTATAAAAAATTTTTTATGGTAGGTTGTACAAAAGACAAGGTAATATATTTTGAATGGGAAATTTGTTGGTTAAAACTTCAGATATAAATTATATATATAAGAATGAAGATAAGAAGTTTTATAAAATTGAAAAAATTATAATTGTTTATTGATTAAATAAGAATTATTATATGTAATGTTTAAATATTATTTGGATTTAAATTAATTAAAACGCCATTCGAAGTGCGGTTAAGAAACAATTAATTAAAATAGGAAAACGCACTTCGAAGTACGGTTAGGAAACAATTAAATAGATAGGAAAACGCACTTCGAGTGCGGTTAAGAAAGAAACAATTAATTTAAAATAGGAAACGCACTTCGAAGTGCGTTTAGGAAAAATTAATTATTAAAATAGGAACGCACTTCGCAAGTGCGGTTAGGAAAAAATTAATTAAAATAGAAACGCACTTCGAAGTGCGATTAGGAAAAATTAATTAAAACGCACTTAAAGTGCGGGTATTAATGAAGGGTAAAAAAGTAAAATGGGGGGCAGGAGGATGAAGGCAATGAGGTGTAGGAAGAATCTCTCTTTTATTTATCCGGCTACGATTAAAAGAAAAATCACCAAAAACTTAGGTTCATCATATATTTAAAGTTGCAATGACTTATGGTAAGTTAGTAGACCCGTAGCACATGGAGTTAGGGGTCTTGGCTTGGCCCCTGAATTTTTCAATTTATATTTTTATATACATGTTCGTTAAAACTATTCCTAACAATAATGAATGTCTAGGAAGGTAAAGCTTCTTATACCAAATGATTTTTGAGATAATTTTTCTTTTCATATAAAATGTACTTATTTTGTTTAGCATTATTTATCCAGACATAATGCTATTTTAAAAAAAAATCGGTTTTTATATATGTAAAGAGGTATAAACCGGTTGATTATGCCCCTTTAATTAATTATGGTTGTATAAAATTTGAAAAGGAAAAGGAAAATATGTGGAGCAAAAGTAAGAAGAAAAAAACAGAATGAGAAAGGTGGTTACAGAGGTATTTATTTACAAGTTGTGTCCCCCAATCTATATTTTTGTTTGTCGGAGGTGTGGTAGGGTTTATGCTGACATTTCCTAGGAACGACCAGCGCCATTGCCGGATCTCGGTTGCCGTAGAAGCTCTATGAGTTTCTCAGCCTGTTCCCACGTACACCAACAATAACAAATAAACAACAACTTCAGTTTACGACCACACTTTTTTTTATACAAAGAAAGAACGTGATATCATATCACTTTGGAACAAAATATAATAATGGTTGGAAATTAGAAAACTGTAAAAGTAGTTTTTTAAATTAATATAGAAAATATAAAAGTGATGGATGGTGGTTGTCAGGTTTACCTTGTGTCTGGGGCGATTGGAGTGTGAGTGTGACTGTGATTGTGAGAAAGCGACGAGGGGTGGAATGGCTCCTTCGCGGGCCACCATAGTACGGTACACCCAACTCTCCTCGCAAATCTGCAACAGAACCCCGACGGCGATCTCCTTCTGCCTCTGCGTCCCCACCTCCACTATCTCCACCAGCACCGGAATCCCCCCTTCATCTACCAACGCCGCCCTCCCCTCCACCACCCCAACAACCACGCTCACCACGTACACCGCCTTGTCCACCATGCTCGACCCCAAGTCCGCCATCAGCTCCACCAGCGCCCTCATAACCCCCGCCCTCACCGCCCTCACCTTGTTCTCCTTCACCGAACACACCGCGTACAGCGCCGTCGCCGCGTCCTTCTTCCCGCGCAAACCCCCACCTTCTAGAAGCTTCACCAGAGGAGGAATCGCCCCCGCCCTCCCTATCGCAATCTTGTCCTCCTCTCTCCGCGAGAGCCGGAGCAGCGCGCACGCCGCGTTCTCCTTCGCCGTAGGCGTCCCCGTCTCCAGCGCTCCCACAAGAGGCTTCGTCGCTCCCGAGGAATTGATCAGGTCTTTGTTCTCGTCGCAGAGCGAGAGATTGAGAATCGCGGTCACCACGTACTCCTGAAGCTGAAGGTCCGACGAGGACGATAGAAGCGAAACCAAGGGTTTAATCGCGCCGGCTTTTGCGATCCTGACGCGGTTCTCTTCCTTGTTCTTGGCGAGTAGCCTGATTTCCATGGTGGCCTGTTTCTGGTCCTCAATGGAACAGGAATGGAGGTTGAGAACGAGGTGGCGAATGAATTCGTCGGAATTGTCGGCGGCGCATGCGATGAGGAGGCGGCGGCTCTCGGAAGACGGTGTGGAGAATTCGGCGGATCTGTCGCTGTTGCAGTCGCTGAAAGCGGAGAAGGAGTTGTCGTTGTTGACGGTGGTTAACATGGCCCTCCCCGTACAGTGAGAATGTGAATGAAGCGGAGTTTGAGAAAAGAAAAGGAAAAAGAAGGAAAGCGGTGAATATATGGGAAGTGCTGTTGAGGGACACGTGCACGTATTGAACTCAATGTTGACCCCTTTCTGTTTGTTTCTTCTTTCATTTTTGTTTCCATGTTACCATTTTGTTTCAATACTTGAAATAGATTAAATGTTTTCCTTCTGCTTCCCCCTCTGCACATGCTTTCACACCAATCATTCCCAACACCACAGCTCACCCACGCCATTTCCAGAACCTTCATCTTTAACATTTTTTAATTAATACTACGCCATGCTTCTTAATCCAATTTCCCCTTTTTTTTATATTTGAACTTCCTTTCTTGTTTATTCATTCATAATGATATGTACTTCCTAACCAACATTTATTGTTTTTTAATCTTCATTGCTCCACTTTCTTCTCCTTTTCCCAAATGATGGCAAATCTATTACCATAATCATGTTTAAGCTTTCATGTCTCCACATGTTTCCCTTTTCATGGACTATAATTTCACGCTTCTCCTTGTATAATAAAAGCACAATTTAATTTAACTAACGAAATCAATTCAACTATATCTCTACTTTTAATTAACAGAATTATTTCAGTCCAAACCACATTATTTTCTAAACGGAATTCAACTATTTACTTCCACTTTAAATTAAACTACACATTTTAAACAAATCATTCCCAGTTTCAAACGCAGCAGTTTTCTTACTTTTAGACTTTAACGAACCGTGTGCGAAAAATAGCTCATTTCCCCTATTAGGGTGTTTTGGCTAATACGCTCCTAATTATTGCCTAAATCCAAGCACTGCAAGTTTTTAAATTTGAGGTTTCCCCTCTGAACGTCTACGTGTAGTCAAATTCAAGTTTAAACATAATATATATAATAATTAAGATAACTTTCCTGATAATTATAGCTTTACAAGTTTGCCGACAAAATATGCCAAGTTCATTATCACAAAACAAATGTCCACATTATCAATATGCAACATTATAAGGCGTTGTAAATGAATTCATAATCATAATACTTGATAATAAAAAAGTCCATGCCGTAAAATCATTCTCCGTGCTATAAGTTAAATTTAGTCTAAGTTATTGAAATATTAGTTTAATTTAGTCTTATAATTTTTAAAAGGTTCCTACAATATTAATTGTCATTGTTAAATTCGTTAAGAGACACTTTAAATTAAATGAAATTATATATATATATATATGTATGCATACGTGTCAGTCCTTCTACAAGAGGATCTAATGTTTGCTTATCTCACTACTATGACCATCAGAAATAAAATTTTATGTCTGAATTTTAGTTTGTCTTCCTATTATTTATTTATTTTGACAGTGAGTCGGCAACTAAGTTATTTCACCCCTTCTTTTGTAGTTTTAAAAGAATATTGCTAAAATTGGTCTGACTGTTCACGTTTCACGCTCTTCGAAAGATCTCGCACGTAATTTTAGGACCACCTGCCCTATTGAACACCCTCGTGTGGACTACTGACATGTTCAATGGAGGGATAAACTTTTATTTTCCTGAGGTTGAGTTGAGATATAAAAAAGTACAGTATTAAAATTCACCAAATATTTTTATATTTTATATCAAATAAGTTATAGCATATTATTCTAAATACTAACCAAGAACTACAAAAATAAACTTTTCTTTTTAGCACCAGAATAAGCTTAATAGTGAGAAAGTTTGGATAATATATCTATAACAGGCGGATGCATTTTGCATCAGTTTACACTTACAAGTTATTTCAACGATTTTTTTAATATATTCGAGTAATATCTCAAAGTTAAAAAATTAATACATTTTTCATTTAGCGTGTTTACTGATTTTACGAAACACTTGGTAACTAGAATAACGAGATTAACTATAACAGACTGAGATTGGTCACTTTTTCTTTTTCCTTCTCCTTTTTTCTTTAATTTTTGAGTCGAAGATAAAGAAAAGAAGTTTTGATGAAGGAAAGGACTTTGGGAAGGTTTATTTTCACGAAAAGCAACTGAGCTGACCACTTAGATGGAAGCCTTCTGAAGTATGTCTCCATGATGGCAACTGATGATAATTGGATAGGATGAACTTCAACATGTGAATACAAAATTTATCTGGAAATAATATTTTGATACAATTTATTTTAAAACTTTTTTTTACTAATTTATTATTTATTTATTATTATATTGATGTATTTCAAATTGAATAAAAAAAATAATACGTATACTATATCAAAATATTATAAAAAAATATGTGATAATATTATCCAATCCATCATTCCCAACATCTATTTAAATCAAACAAAAATGAATTAATCTCCATACACAAAAAGTTTCATATGTTAATCGAAGATGTAAAGGTTAAAATTGACGAGTACTACTATGGAAAATCGATTGCAGGGAAGTTTTGGTTAGTTATAATGTTGTATCACATGCATTTCTTAGAAATCATTCCATTTCATGCCTTCGAGCTTTCGCAAACTCATTACTCTNCACTTTTTCTTTTTCCTTCTCCTTTTTTCTTTAATTTTTGAGTGGAAGATAAAGAAAAGAAGTTTTGATGAGGGAAAGGACTTTGGGAAGGTTTATTTTCACGAAAAGCAACTGACCTGACCACTTAGATGGAAGCCTTCTGAAGTATGTCTCCATGATGGCAACTGATGATAATTGGATAGGATGAACTTCAACATGTGAATACAAAATTTATCTGGAAATAATATTTTGATACAATTTATTTTAAAACTTTTTTTTACTAATTTATTATTTATTTATTATTATATTGATGTATTTTAAATTGAATAAAAATAACAATACGTATACTATATCAAAATATTATAAAAAAATATGTGATAATATATCATTATCCAATCCATCATTCCCAACATCTATTTAAATCAAACAAAAATGAATTAATCTCTTTACACAAAAAGTTTCATATGTTAATCGAAGATGTAAAGGTTAAAATTGAAGACTACTACTATGGAAAATCGATTGCAGGGAAGTTTTGGTTAGTTATAATGTTGTATCACATGCATTTCTTAGAAATCATTCCATTTCATGCCTTCGAGCTTTCGCAAACTCATTACTCTGAGAACAACATGAACATGCTTCCGATGTTTGTATGGTCGGTGGAGAACTCTTATGATTGAGATTGAGATTGAGTACAAGATAATAGGCATTATGAACTATTGGAGGGTTCATCCACAACTTTAAAAGCAATAAAACATCAGTTTTTTAGTATACCCGTCTATATTTATATTATTTGTCTTATTTTTTTCTTTCATCCTCTCCCCTTATCTTCCATTAACTTGTATATTTAATTTTTTCAATAATTTATTCAAAAGTATGTTTAATATTTTTTTAACAAAATGAATATTATAAAAAAATAAACTTATGTCATGATTGATCACAGACATTAACTATAACGTAACTTGCCTTTCTGATAAGAATGTATAGTTTTCAAAGTGTTTTAATACAGCTTAACAATCTTAGAGTAAAAACTCAAAAAAGAAAAATGTGATTTATTTTAACTCAAAATTATATTAATTTAACATCGAATTAAATAAACTTCACTTATTTTCGTGTTTAATTTGATGACTAATTAATATACCAATGGACATACACCCCTGCATCAAGGTATTCTAAATCTGGAATAGTTGAAGACAAACTTAGTAAATTAAGTAACAAGTTTTACCTTTTTTATTTTATGAATCTCTCATCATAATTTTTCCTATAAAATTTTAATTCCATGTCATTTGAAGTGTTGAATTTTCATAAATTATTATCGTTTAAATAAAATCATAATAACAAAACGAACTATCTCGGATGAAACTAAATCTGATAAATTCATTTACTTTGTTTTCTCCGATTTAGTTTTATCATTATATATTTGCTGATCTGACAAAAATATCTATGCGTACTAACAAATTACAAGCACTATATACCGTAAGATTTTCAAGTAAGAATATTTTAAATTATCCTATAATAGTTCTTTTAATATTTTCCTTCAATATTAAGTGAATAAATACTGAATAGCCTTTATGCTTTATATTTTATTCTTTAAAAGATTACATAATTATTAAAAAGACATTGTAAATAGATATATGAAGTAATTCTCCAACTAAATTAATAACAGGAGAGGATGCGTGTCATCCGTTTATTTTAGTTAAATCTATGTTATAATTCTTCTAATCTAATCTATTATTTAAAATTTTAGTATAAGTTAATTTCTGTTTTTTTTATTATTTTATTTTATTTTGTCTTAAAATTCTTTAGAAGAACTTCTCCAAACATATGTTAAGAATGTAATGAAAAATTGCATTTACATGCTTCTTTCTTCACTCCTTATTTCGGTTATTTCACTATCCTGTTTTTAATTTTGATTTAAAGTTTTGAGATATAATCGTGAAGGTTTTGGTATATTCTTATATATGCAAAAAATATTATATCAATTATATATGCAAAAAAAAACTTAATTAGGAGAATAAATAAAAAAACTTATCGCTTCGCAAAGTATTTTCAATTATATCAACATGCATTAAGAAATATATCAAAATACTGCATATAGAAATGTACGAACTCAAGTATTATTAAATGTAAATTTCAAATAAATAAAAATGAAAATTTGATAAACAAGTTATAAAAAGGGCTTATTAACAATGAAACTATCAGTATTTTAATATCCACTTAAAGTTTAGAAATATTAAGATTTGACATTAAAAAAACAAAAACAAATAGACACAAAAAGTTTGTGCATTTACAAAATAAGTATACAATGAAAAAGTTGAGAATGAAATTTGTAATACACTATTCATAATTTATATGTTAATGTTGATATCTGATAATAATAATCTTTAATGAGTCTTTTGAACAATCTGCAATGTGACAGAATCATATCTATATATTAAAATGCAATATCAGTTTAAATAATTAGCCAACCTTTATATGTTTATGTGTTATTTCATAATAATAAGCTGATAAAATAATTAGCAAATTATATATATTTATTAATTTATAAAGCATACATGTATTGATATCATGCTAATTTCAAGGAAGTTAATAAAAAACAATATTTAAGATAATCCTCTACAATTATAGTAAATTAATTTGTTTGATGGAATTTATT